CATGCAATCCACACGCTGGCAACCACACTTGGCTTCGCTGCCAGTTGACAGTGCCATTTGCTTTCAGCGCATCACACTACAACCTTGCGGGTAACTTTGCCTTCTTACCTCATGGTGTCGATACACTGTGTTGTGCGAGCCTCTATGCTCTTTTCTGGTCTGTACAGTGGTACAGCTTTTTGACCTTCAATGTTGTTTTGTACAGGCTTATATTGTCTCCTTTGCCATTTGCTTTTACAGCTGAAGTCCTATGGGTCCCAAACCGAGCATGATGCGTGTTGCCGGTATTTGCTTCGTGCTGACAAGAGCGGCTCCTCCACTACTCCGAAATTCTTGCATGTAATCACTACATCCCTGCATACCCCGGAATGGTGTTATGCGGATGGCACATTCGCCAAGTGTTTTGTGTACTGCAGGGCACCCTTTAAGCATCTCCCGGGAGCCCTGACGCGAGATGTATTTTCGACTTCTGTCGAGGGGTATATGATGCTCTTTTGAATAGCATTCGCTTAGGCTCATGACGTTTGTACAGGCAATGTGTGGAGTGTTGGCGCCACATGCCCGAATGCTTCTTGAAGCCCCCACTACTTTGCATTCTATTTCCTTTCATGTGATTGGGTTTCTTTGATCGGTGGTCTTATTTTCAATTTGAAATAACTAAGGGGGAGGGTTATTCCTTCATATCCAGGATTCTGATTCCTGTTTTAATAGTTTCCATCATACCTTTGTCAGAAACACTTCAGGGAAGGGTGCTTCGGGCCACGCCTCAGGTGTTCTGGAGCTGGACGAGTTTTCAGCGCTCCGCGTGAGGCTCACCGCGGGCAGCGCTCTACGTGCCATCCGCGGGTCGAGCTACATGCGGATCTACCTGTGGCCGCTTTTGAGTCATTTGGCGGATCAGAGACCGCGGGAGCTCAGTGGGAGCGGGGCATCTTGCATCCTGGAGCTACAGCAACTTTGCGAGAAACCATGAGAAACCACTTAGTTGGCAATTCACTTTCCGGTGGAGAGGGACATTTTGCATCATCTTGCATCCTGATTGTGGGACAAAGCTGCATTGAGGCTGGCATACCTTTGATACTTTGAAGACAACAATTTCTCCCCAAAGCCTCCATGTTTCTTTTATACCGCCTATTCCTGCCCACACTGGGACCACATACCATCAACCCCCCCCAGATTCCGCCAAAAACCTCCGACATGGTCACCGTCTCTACACCCCAGCAGCTTAGGTGTTTAATGGTTTTTCATTCCACACCCCAGCTCAGGTTGGCGCCTGGGCTCTGGGCGTTGCCAAGCCCAAACACTGTGCACCACGGCCACGTCTGGCGCTGACGTCAGCGACACCTGCGGTGAAGCGACGTGCGAGACCTTCGCCCTGGACGGTGAGACGACGCGGGCGGCAGCGTTGTGGCCGAAGGGATCGGGGTTAGGGGCTTCCGGATGGATTCGGGAAGGGGCTTCCAAACGTTCAACAGATGTTTTGGGTGGGGCAGCGTGGACATCCAAAGAGGAACCAGTCGAAAAACATTGGGGCCATTTCTGCTCAAGCATGTATATATATATATAAGTCGTTTTCATTGCATTTGAGGGTTTTTTCGTTTTATTCGAGGGTTGAGAAAATTAGAATATGGATCTGATCTGCAACAATGAGATCAAGATGGAGGCCCGTAGAGCCTTTTTCAGGTCTCTAAAGGGAGACTCTGAAGAAAAAGCACAGCCCACTAGCAATGCCAGCACTGCGGTGCACTTTTCGCTGCTGTCCCTTCGAGAGTTCAAGGGTGAACACATGACTGGTGAAGGCTACAAACTGAAGCCAATAGCACCTCGGAAACGGCCCAGCTATGATAATACAAGGCGGCGTTTTTTTTGCCAGCCCTCCAGTTCGAACTTCGCACTTCATCTAAACAAGGAATGTTTTGTAAGACTTTTAGTTTCTTTTGGAGATCTTTCACTCACCAAATCATCAACTCGTTTCGCTACTGGCAGCCCAACGTGCAAGGCATGCAGAGAACGGCGTTTCCACTTCAAGGGTGCGAGACGTGCTTTCTAAGTCTCGTTGCCGGTGTGATCGAGGAGCATGCTACAAGAAGATTCGACCCTTAGAGAAGGACCTCTTGAAATTTCTGGAGCTCTTTTGGGGGATGGAAAAGCCTTTGCAGGACCAATACGTTTCGGGCTGAGTTTCCCAACAATGTCCACCACCAAATAGAATATAATATGGGGTCGTCTTCAAACAAACCGCCTCAGATCTACAACATCATGAAGGGCACCAAGCTGGGGGAACGGAGATGGGTGCTTTTGGGGAAGTGCCTTGCGCCCAAATGTCTGGCGACTCTGCTAGGTATCAGGTCTGATCGTTTCAAGACCGCTGGTTCTGGCCATTTGGACAGACGGTACCGTTGCTTTGGGGCTGTTGCTCAGCAGGAACTGGCAGAGCAAAGAGTTGACGTTCTTGATAGGGACTCGCTCATGAGTTTTCTTCTTCAGGTTAGGAAGAGGGCGCCCATCAAGTATTGGCGAATTGATCAGTTTTTTCTTCGGCTGTACATCAACCAGGCCAGTATGTTGCCCACCAAGCTTCCCAGCTCATTTAACAGCTTGGCACGTTTGTCTGCCTAACAAAAGGTTGGACACTTTTTGATGCTGGCTGTTGTGGCAAGGTTCCAGCGTGCAGCTCGCTTGCGACATGCTTCAGCACGAGGCAAGCCAGGCAAGCCTAGCGATATGGTAGCCGTGTGGGAGGCTGGATGCCACACTGATGATTTGGAAGGACCTTTCGCTAGGAAAACACTGTGCGATTTTTTTTGTGCAAGCTCACCAAACACCAGCATCGAGATTCCAGGACATCCTGACTCCGATGAAGAGGAGCACTTCACTGTGGGTGAAGAGTCCATTGAGACTGATATGGAGCTCAAATTGCACGTAATGGGTTCCAAAGCTTTGTGGACTCAGACACTGTGTTTGCACTTCAACTTCGGTGCATGGTTCATTTGCTTTTCATAGGGAGGGGGGCCAACAGGGATGAAGCGTGGCTCAGGATCGTTGAATCCAACTTCGGCCAAGAGCCGTCGGACCTCCCCACCAGGTTTTTACCACCTGGTAACTTGCGAATGCTGCATGTCCAATGTCCTGGAGACGTATCGTTTCTTGAAAAATGAAATCAAGCATGCAAGGTGACAGAGTAAGACTTAGATTGTCCCAGTCAGGTATTCTCACTTCCATCGCAGATACTGCCAGAAGTGGGCAAATTTGCTTCGATTTGCGAGCCCTACCAACTTTCCTGCATGCGATGACTGCACAGCGTACAAGGCAGCCTTTGAGGATTCCAATGACGCTTGTTTGACCACTGTTCTTTTCAGGGTCGAGGTGTACAGGCCTGCGTGAAGTTTGTTGATGGCTGAGGATGCCTTGGATCGATTCACCATCAGCAGGCAATACAAAGGGCATCTTGATGCCGTTGCTCAAGACAGAAAGCTGGAAAACTTTTTGGAGGACATCCACTGTGCTTTATGTAACTAGTGAGTCTTCCTCACAATACACCACACCTTCCAGGATTGCAAACCTGGTGATGAATCAGGCACTTTGGTGATCCATGCAGAAGCTTGGTCTAGTCATAAAGAAAGCAACATATGTTTGCAGCATCCGCCATGATTCAGTGCCATAACAAACATGACTTGCTCAATCAACACTCTTGAGGACGGAATGGATCAGAGCAAGTGGGCCATCCCAAGATTGCGCCATTCCAACATCTCGAAGAGTGTGGGGAAGTTTGACAGGCCAAAAGGAAAGGTTCAGGGCATTTGGGCCCACCACATTGGTCTTTGGCTTTATGCCTTGGACCCCCCGAGTGCCGGGGGATGGGTCCATGGTGGCCGAAACATTGTGTCGTGTCCTTGACAAAGTAAGCGAGCACTGTTCTTCCCACAGCATTGATCCTCCCCGACGGGTCTTGCTGTGGGTGCCAATGGCCTGTTTTTTTTCAGAATGACCTCTCATCAATTGCCAGTCAGTATTTGTGCAATGCTGAATAGTTGGGCCGTGGTTCCTTGGCAAATCCATGGCAGGTGGACAATACCGTGAAGGAGTCGAAGAATAACACCATGTTCAAGCTCCTCAGCTACATCCTCTTGCAGAAAGGACTGGAGATGGTGGGTGTGTGCATGTCCCGTGTGGGACACACGCACGGATGCTTGGGTACCTTGGTTGTGAGAACAACCATATGTGTTTTGAAACAAGTCACGAATAGAACTAAATCTTGTTTGTTAATCATGCGCAGCATATCTGAGATCAGTGCTTTGGAATAATTTCTCGAGCGATGAAGTGGGTGGATGTCTTAAGTGATGACCGAGACATTGTGGAGACACTTGACATCGAACTGCTGCTAAGTTCACTAAGTTTGCGTGTCTCCCAAACCTGACATTGACATCCAATCCAATTGTGAGGAAATTGGAGTACATTGTCGACAAGGTGAACTTATCTGCATGGCTAGGCAATGCCAAGGTGCATGTTGAAAAGTTGGACTCTGTACGGGATTTCAAGACATGGCGATTCGGTAGCATACAGAGCAGAGCATGTTGATGGCTCATCTTGAGCTTGAGTGGGGCTGCATCTGTGCAGCAGCAGCCTCATCTTAGGCTAGAGGCTGCCCCGGTGCGCTTTGCTGGGGGCATGAAGGATGACATTAGCGGAGCTCACAGCTTCTTCTTTTTGCGAAGACGAGGTTCTGGGTAGTAAGTAGTGTTTTGCTTGTTTGTCAGCGCTGACTGTCATCTTTCGCTTTTTGACCTTGGCAGACGTTCCGGCCCATATGAGAATCGCATGCTCCTCAGACAGATGGCCGTCGCAGCACAACGACGTGATTTGTTTAGTGAAGAGATTTGCTTCTGACGCCGCTCTGTCTCAGGAGAAGCTGTGCTTATACTGTGGGTTTTTCAGCCATCATGGTTTTTCAAAGTCACCACTGTCTTCAGGAGCCAGTTTTGGTTTGGCCCCAAGCTTTCATGGATCTTTTGCCTCCTGTGCCACAGTCGCCTCGCCCGGTACGTTGCTTCGATGTGGAGCGGCGCAAGAAATTGCTTGCCTTGGCTGACGTTTTGCTGAAAGCTGAGCCGACAGAATGTACGGCCCGAACCGTGCGATATTTGTGTAAGCTCGCTGTGCCATTTGCTGAGCCTGCCCCAGTCCCAAGATTGGATTGGCTCTGTGAAAGGACTGTTGATGAATTTGATGCCTTGATCCATTTTGATGCTTCCAGCATCTCTCACATGGCCCAGCTGGTTCCTCAGATGAGGTTCACTGCTGTATTCCGGAGAGTCTAGCAAAACATGTGGCTGTTGTAGTGCTTATAAGGAAATTTCCTACCATCTATGGGTTCCTTATACCATTGTAGCATATCAGTCACTTTGACTATATCCAGTGGATTGCTACAGTCTTCGGCTCAAACACGTCTTGTTTCATCAGGGCACTTCCAGGACCCTTGAAACAAACTACTATACCGTTCTCAGCCTTGCCCAAAAGTCCTACGCGCACTCACTTATCAGGACCATGAGCACGGTGCCCATGCTAGACCTGGAGGACTCAAGGCTTGGCCAATCTGCCAATCTGCACTTGGACTTAACTTGAAATTTAGCTGGAAGGAGGCTGAAGCGAAAAGCATCTACCGCCGTACTCATTGAATCTCACGGTGAATCTCAATTTTGGACAGATTCACAGCCTGATGAATCCAAGGCTGGAATCTAGTTTCTCTTTCTCGGCGATGGAACCCGCTATGTTGCAGGACTGTGTACTGCTTCAATCACCTCCCTCAACAAAACGTACTCGGTTGTACAAATCGACGCCTGAAGCCCGAACCTTATTCTTGTTCCAAACGAACCTAAACTGAACACTTCGAAGTTGAGGTTCCTGCCGATCCGTGTGCTCGAGAGTCCAGTGTGACAGCTCAGAGTGCCTTGCTTGAGGCTGGGAGTTTGTTTCTGGGGCAGCTGTTGACAAAAACATGTTCCTCCAGGTCTGGTACCTTTTGAATGGCAAGCTCAATGATGAGAAATCTGCCATTCCGAAGCTTTTTAGATCCCTAGCCCTGCTGTCCGATGCGGCAGCTGAAATCACCACCGTGGGCACCAACTGAACGACCGCTAGATGAGGGTAGATGATAGTGAGAAATGGTCGAAACGCGAAAGCTTTCAAGACTCTCCATGTTGAGGCTGATGTTTCAAAGTGTGTAAGTCGCCCTGCGTAGTTCTTTTGGTTCAAACGTTTACCTCTTCCTTGGCATCTTTTTGAGAAATGAACCTTGCAAGCGATTATACGTTTGGAGTCTGCCGCCCAACAAAAGGTCAAGTGTCCTTTCCAGCCTCCAAAGGAAAGGCATCATCAAGCTCAAGGACGCGGTGAAGTCAGCTGTGCGCAGCACGCCTACCAGGCCAACATAGAATTCAATTCATCTCATCACATTGAACGCTTTCCAAAAAGCCAGGGTCAAAAAAGACCAGAAGGTAAAGAAGCTTAAGGGGACGAGGACACGCGCTGTGTGTATTCAACATATGTTCTGCATGCCATGCTCATATTGTATTCAAAGTCCCTCAAACAACAGGAGATTCAGATGCTGGCCGAAGACCAACATCACCATAGCTGGAGAAGACAAGCCAGAAGGACCCAAGAATGTGGCTTGGTGAAACTCACCAGTCTCTGCATGCTGAAAAAGGCTCCTCCGCTTTCAAAGGGTCCCCCCAGTCCTTCCGTTCCGCGCCGTTCCACGCGGTTCGGGTGACGAAGAACCCAGGTGCCTCGGCACGCCCCACGAAGAGGAGTGCTTCCGCGAGACGGTGGCACCGCGCTTTCCGGCCTTTGAAGATCCGCAGTGCGCCATGGGGGCTCCTTGGACAGTCCAGTGGCGGGCGAGATCGCTGGTGGCTGGTTCGATCAGTCTGTAGTCTTTTCGGGGGTTTCACGGCAGTTCGGCGAGTTGCGTCATGGTACGTTTTGTTGTAATAGACATGGGAGTGCTCCTCAGGAGTCGCTGCTCCTGGGTGTTTCAGCGACTCGACGCTGCGCTTATCCGCCGATCTATACCTATAAAAGCTGAATGACTCAGCGATATTTTGGACCAACCACCCGACATGTGGTCAAACTTCCTATGAAAACTATGAAAACAGGGGTCATGATGTATAGATTTATAGTTTTTAAAAGGACCCGCGACTCTCTACCCGCGACAACGTTAAGGACGATGTCCCAGAATCTGCGTCCGCTGTTCGAGATCTGGGCGGAGCTGGTTTCGATGCGGAGTTCAATACAGGGAGTCACCACTTGCTAGTTTGCGTCTTCATCATGGTATCCATGGGAAATCCAAGGCATATCCATCAACTTCCCAGACATGTTTGGATGCGAACTGAACGATGCCCTGAAGATGTAGAAATTGATATGGGACATGGTGCTCATGGTGTTTTAGCAAGGGGTATGCTTCATACGTGTTTTTTTTTGAGGATCATCCGAACGCCCTGTAAAGATGCTGAAAGATGCACCTTTCACTCATACAATCTCACCTCACTTTGAAGATCAAAGACCTGCTTTAGGGACCTGACATAAATCACGATCGCTGGCTGGGTGCTATGACATGCTCCCCCGTAGATTAACACGGCCAAGACCACCCGGTGGTAGAGAAAAATTGTCAAAAACAGGTGAATTCTCAGCCGGTAGAACACGTTCAGCACACACTCAGAACACGACCGATCGCGTGCCAGGTGGCGCTGCGGGGGATCTTCTTGTCTGCCAAGAAACCCTATAACGAGTTCCAAGATGCTGCAGCTGCAATCCGAGCGGCGGTCTCTCATTTTCTCTTTGTCTCTCTTTTGATCCAAACCTAAAGGTATCCAAAGGCGTCGGAGTGTGGATTTGAGAGCATGGATTGGTGAGGGTGAGGATTGTGTAGAACGTGCGGAATGTCTTCCCATCCGAATCAGTCGATCACTCGATCACGGCTTGTTGGCTCCAAGTGGGATCGGATCCGTGTCTAGATCCGACAAGAATTTCTGCATGTTCCTGCTTTTAGGCTTTCTCGGGATTCAGCAAGTTTGGAGTAGGTGTTTCGCCAATCCGAGCAGTTTAGATGGGGATCTACACTCTAACTCAGTTAACATGGAGGTGGAAACTGGTTCCCTGGAAGACAACTTTCCGCATTTTTCCTCGACAACAGTTCTTCCCACTTCCATGTGAGTTGGAGTGCATATAAGGATCATTTCATTCTATCGATCCTCCAAATCGGATTGCCTCCATTGACCCCGCACATATCCATTCATATCCCTACAGTCCAGTCTGATCCAGTCAAACCTGGTCTTTTCTCTCTTTTCTCTCCTTGAGTAGAGTTTTGTATGACCAACTCAGTGAAATGAGGTCATTGACCTGCACTGTAGGGTATTGTCTTGTTTTTTTGTTTTCTCTGCGGATGTTTCAAGGACTCCAATGCGATCTTGCCGGACGGGAACATGCAAGGCGACGAGAAGCGCGAGAGTCCGATGAGGGACTAGTGAATCAGGTCTGATGGTCCGGATAAATCTTCCCTTCATGTGGGCTTGGTAGAAGTTGCTGGGATTTGGATTAGATTTGAAGTTTTATATTTTTTTTTTGCAGACGATTTTGTTGGAGATGTTCGGGAATTTAATGGATTCACCCAAAGTATCCAAAAAGTATCAAAAAGTAATGTTCACCCGCGTACAAGAACCATGAGGAATTTGTACCTTCGCAAAGTTCTTTGGTTGTTGTGTTTGTCCTGAGATGTAAATGGCCAATTATCAACCAGGAGGCGTTGGGGGGGCTACGACCCTAATCTATTGCATGAAGCTTTTAGACAAACACGACTGATTGCCTCTTCCATCCAGTATATACGATCATCCAAGTCATTATGTTTAAACGTTAGATGGTGAAAGAGTATGGTGACGCCAATATATGGTGTTTTCCAGTATAGTTAGTTGTCAACTTTCACGCAAGTTGTATACTATTCCCTCTTGGAAAGTTGACAACTTGCGTTTGATACTCGCATGATGACAAAGCAACAAGTTGCGATGGAGTGCAGCTGTCAACAGCGACCAAGCTGGGCACTTGCATTTGAGGTGCTCTTGTGGTTTTGAGGGTCCATATTGATTTTCAGGAGAGTAATCAGAAGTCATCAATAGACAATGGATGCGACTATTGTAAGACTTTAGGGGTTCACACCTGTTTGCAGGAGAGTTATCACAAGTGATCCATAGACAATGGATGCGACTATTATAGGCATTTAGGGATTCGCAGGCTATTCTTTCAAGATCGAGTTGTTGCAGTGTTTGTAATTTAAAATAGTGGAGAGGGGAGAAAGAGCGAACGGGGTGTCATCCGTTTCCATTGTTTCGAACTTGCTGAAGCATTTGTTTCACTGGCCATGCTGGTCACGGATGTCGAAGAGCCCAAGAGCCCCCACAACGTGCGTTGCCGGTGTCGCAGGATTTGATGAGTGCCTTCTCTACGGCAATGACCAGGCGGGGAATGACCTCCGGAGTCGTCCGTTTTGCCTCGACGGGGAATGACCAGGACAGGCGAAGGAACGAACCAATAAGGTCTCTAGGTGTTGCTGGTAGCCAGAGGGGCACGACCAGGCTATACTCATAAACCTACAAAGTACATATACAAGTAGTTCCCGGGCAAGCCGGCGGTGGAAGTTTCCTATAAGAAGAAATTGACCTATAGGAGTGTCCACGTTCTCTCCAACGTGCTGTGCCTGCCACGAAATCTGCACATGGAGGTTCACAAAGTGCT